AGCTTACAGGTAAGGAAGAGGTGCCTTTTGGCTGCAGACTGGGGGGTGGGATTAGCAAGGGTGCTGTTTGGGGTCCGTGTGGGGCAGGGACTGCCCTCTCTGGGTGGGCGCTGGTGGGCTGGCTGGAGGTCCTCCTAGGACCCTCCTTCACTTGGGGATGGCTCCTTTTGTACAGGGACGATGCTGCATGGCCCTCACTCTCCCTTCCCCCTCCAGCCAGGCGTTCGGAAAAAAGGAGAGCCTCCATGGAGACTGTGGAGTTCCTGCTACTGACTCATCCCTGACATCCTTGAGGTGAGGGATTGTGGCAGAGGGACCAAGTAGGTATGTGTGTGGGTAGAGCTGGCGGACCCTGTGAGGTAAAAGAGGGAGGGACAGTTGCGGAAGATGGCTGAGGGGCACCCCCCCCACTGACAGGCCAGGGGTGATTCACTCCCCCCTCCCACTGATGTTCTCCCTCCAGAGCTCAGAAGTTCCCTGTTGGGGGGTCCTGGGGGCACCAGGCCTGTATCCTTTCAGGGGTCTTTTCTCTGCCAACCCTTTGTAAATTTGGCAGCAATTAGCTGGAGGTGGGCTTGCTCTCAAGTGGGCTGGTGCATCTCCTCCTGTGCTCCCGAGGCCTTTCTCAGCAGCCTCTTCAGTTCCCTTCACAGCATCACCAGGAACCATGGCAGCCTCAGGTCTTCTGACTCTGTGGTGAACAGTGGCTTGGCAACTCAAGGTCTCTGGCTGTGGGCTGCTCAAGTTTCCAGCAGAGCGGGGAAAGTGAGTGGAACCACGCTTTCTTTTCCCACCCTGCAGTGGCAGTACCTTTCTCCTTGCCAACGCCTTCCTTCCTTCCCATCCTTTGAATAAGGAAGAGCCCCCAGTGACAGCATCCAGCCTTGCTATTCCTGAGCCTGTTTGAAGTGGTCCTCTGTATCCTATTGAGGGAAACACTGGACCTTTGCAGGATCACCTTCTCACCATTCTCTCTTTCTCCATGTCTTGACTTCTCCTCCTCACCCATCCCAAGAAGCCGTGGGCAGCACTTCACAGAGGCAAGAAGCAGGGAAGTACAGATTTGTGATCACCTGAAGAGAGACAGCTGTGTGCAGCGGGGCTTTCTCTAGTGAGGACAGGGACCTCAGCCCCAAAGGGGAGGAAAGGAGAACACCATTTACCTGGAAGAAACCTCTGCCTTGTTGTAGCTGTATTTTTGAGTCCCCAGCTGGGTCCTTTTTCCCCATGCCAGGCATTTCAAGTATGTGAGTGCTGGAAGCTGCTGACCTTGGCTATTGGGGGAAGGAATCTGGGGTCTTGTGGCATCTTAGGGAGGGTGTGTTGAACCTTCAGTGGACAAGGGGCCTCCCTCTCAGTCACTGGGGCTGTGGTCTGTTTTGGGGAGCACCTTGCTGATCAAATCTAAAGTGAGAACAACAGATCTACTAAAAGACTGTCAAATTCTGGAATCCACAAAGCTATATTCCAAAGAGAAGATGAAACAGAAGCTGTAGAAACCTCAGCCACCTTAAAAATTGGATGTAGATGGCGAATGTTAAAAGAAATCCCCTCCATCTATAAGGAAAAGAGGCATAGAATGATGATCTTATTGAAAAAAAGGAGTTATAAGAAGAAGAAAAAAAGAGTAAAGCTTTTAAAATAAAACTGATTCAGAGAATCTCTGTTTTTGTGTAAGATGGGCTAGGGAAAACTGCATTTGCGATTAGTTAAAATTGGTTATAATTGAATGTATTTTTATGCATTTATAAAATTATTGCCCATAATAAAATTAAGAAAGGTTTTAAGAGAAAACAATATAAACATAAGATAATATAAAATATTAGAGATTAAGTAAAAAAAGGAGTGATCTAGAGTATATATGTGGATCCTTATTTGAATAAATTTGATTAGAGAAGGGTATTTAGGTAAGGATAACAACAGAGGATTGTAATTCATTAGAGTATTAAGGTGGTTTGATACATGAAGCAGACTAGAGAATCTATTCTTGTTGACATCAAAATAATTAACACAAAATAAACTAGCACAAATAGAAAGGGTATATAACTTGGTTAAATAGACAATTATAGTTTATAGAAGATTATTGTAGAATGTTTAATCAGGAGAGAACTTATTTTTGTTAGAGAATGTTGTGATTATGTAACTTAAAGATATATCCATAATTAGACTCATAGAATAGGATTGCTAAAAATCTTGATGGTAAAACATAGACTTACAAAAATAATTATTGATCATATGGTGGAAAATTGGTATGTAGATATATATGTAAGAGGTGATCTAAGAGATATGATGCTGTCATTATTACTCTCATTTTTGTTTGTTAAAAATAATAAAATTATTTTTTAAAAAAGATTAGGTTGACAGAAATAGTAATTGGAATGAAAAAACAAAACAAAAACATATTTACTCCCTGCTTCCCCTCCTGTCCTTTATGGCAATGTTTAGATTGTTATTTCTTGCAGGGTGGCATTATGACTTTCATGGGCCCTAGGCACTTTTTCCTTCATGGGTCCCTTCCTCCATTAAAATATTTAAAATTATATTTTACAACTGTGTTGGTATAAAGCTGGTATACAGTTGAAGTGTGTATTAGAGTTGCCTGAAAAGAAAAATCTGACCAAATTGTTTGCTGCACCAATTGAAAAAAAAAATCTAGTTACAAATTTTCCCAATGTATATATTGCATTAAGAATTTAACTCATCATATTTATCTTCCAAAAGAGCTCCTTGAATTTAGCAGATTCCCTGACAAAACAGAAAGCAGCAGATATTTCTCACCAATTTCCCATTAACTGCTGCTCGTATTATCTACGTTCTCTGCCCGCATGAGTCACAGCCGCGAAAGAAAGGCCTGGTACAACCAATTTTCAGGAGGTGACGGTATTGTAAAATGTCCTCTTCATCTTTCAGAGCACAATGCCTGAACCGCAGGGGAGATGTTGAACGGAGGAGGTAATACCTGGTGTGTTCCCCCACTCCTCCGCCCCAACACTGAGTTTGTTTCAAAAATTAGACTGCTTCAATTATATTTTGTGTCATTAAAGGGCATGAAGATAATGCCCAAAAAAGGCACTTCAGGAGGGTTTTTATGCTATTTCCCCCCTCCCCCCCCCCGCAGGGTTCCTTTGCCTTTAACACCTGCGTAAGAGGTGGGCATTCAACAGGGCAAACCTTTCTTCTCCCAGATGTCCACTGATCTTCCACTCACCACTTGCATTTCTGCCTATTCCTCACATAGCTGTCATAGTTTCCAGGAATAAGAGGCAGCCGCCTTACTCTTGAGGAGAAAACAACAGGAGAAAGTACCCAGAATGACGAAATGTATGTAAAAACATGTGCCACTAATAAAGCAACCCTCGTTATTAAGTCATTAATTTAAAGGCCAAGAGGATGATGGGGATTTCCCCCCCCAGTTTGATATAGTAGAAACATCCTTTACGGTGTGTCGTTAATTGTTCACAATATCCTCAGCGGCTGCAGGATATTAAATGACACTCTGTGGCAGGGGTCCCCAACGTTTTTTTGAGCCTTCAGGCACATTTGGAATTCTGACACGGCACGGCGGACGCAGCAACAAAATGGCTGCCACAGGAGGCAGAGCCAGAGACAAAATGGTTGCCACAGCTTAACTTCAGTCACACAGGGTACATCCTTGTGTTGTGGTGGCGGTGGCTGCCAAAACAACATTTAAAAAAAAAATCTTGGCTGGTCGCTTGACCGTACTAATAAACTTGACTTGACTTGAAAAAAATAAATCTGCACAGCCAATCAGATCTCCAATAGTCAATCAGAAGCCTTGCGTGGCAAAAGCCCAACCTGGCCCCTCCCACTTCCTAGAAATATTTGGCGGGTGCCAGGAAAGGTGTTGGTGGGAGCCATGACACGCACAAGCACCATGTTGGAGAAGTCTGCTCTATGGATTGGATAGGCCTTCAGACGCCAGGCCTTCCGTCCAACTCTGGGTGGCATTCTCAGGGACTGTGAGGGGGCGGGCTACACATATACTGATGGGCTACAGTATATACTTACCAATGGGGTAAGTAGCACCCCCGGAGCCATTTCAGGTTGGGAAAACAGTGCAGGGGGAGGCTGGAGCCCCTTCACCACCTGAACAATGGCTCAAATACATCCGTAGAAAAGAGCAACACTCCAGGAGTGCCTTAAAGGCTAACAAAATTTGTGGCAGGGGAGGAGCTTTCATGAGTCACTGCTCACTTCTTCAGATCTGAAGAAGGGAGCAGTGATGCACAGAAGCTCATCCCCTGCCACAAAAAAACCCTGTATTTTTGTATGAGTGCATGTGTGCGCGCCCATGTCTGGAAGTCATGGCGACCTCTGGCAACTCCTCCTGGGGCACGGAGGATGTTCAGAGAAGTGCCTTGATAGCCTGTTTCTGGCCTCCCA